GGGATGAGCTTGCAGGAACGGTGACTCCGTATGGCCGTCACTTAGTCTCTTTGAAGTCTGGCCCCAAAGTCAATGAAAGGAACTTGCTGGGGCGTCGTAGCCTCACCTGGGTTCGTCGGAAGGATGACAATCCGTCTCCCCACCGTCAGACGGGTGCTCTTCAACTCCTCCCGGCTGAGGCGGTTGTCTCCTCCGCTACTGCTACTGAAAGGAACTTGGGAATGATACAAGCAGCCGCGGTTCAGGGTGATGAGATGACCTCGAGGCGTGTCCAATTTCTGGATAGAGCTGCTAGCAAACTGACTCTTGCTCGTGATCGCAATGAGACGCCAGACCTGCAGTACATGAGTCCAGACCCAAAGAAGCAACGTGTGGAGGCTGATCATACTCTGCAGGAGCAGAGGGCTGAAGATATGGTGGCGGCAACCAGCCATGACTGGTCCCAAAGCATCAGATGAGCATTCTCGCATGGAATTGTCGGGGACTAGGCTCCCCCCTGACAATTCCCTCATTATTCGGAGCTATTTGTCGATTCTCTCCTTCGATTGTGTGTTTATGTGAAACAAAAAGCACGATGATGACTTTGTTAATAAGAAGTTGTGCCGTTTAGGTTTCGTAGTAGTGCGTTGTGTATCTCCCATTGGCAGGGCTGGGGGTCTGGTTGTTGCTTGTGCCACAAATGTCCAGTGTCGTGTGCTTGAGGAAGCTTCTTTCTTCTTGTTTATTGAAGCTCACCATTTAGCATGGGGTTTAGTAGCTGTGCTGTTTGTCCACCTAAGTTATGATGTACATATTCGTTGTTCTCAGTTTAATGAACTGTTGCGTTTGATCTCGTCGTGTGCTCTCCCTCTTATTGTTCTTGGTGACTTTAATTGTATCCTGTTTGCATCAGAGAAGCAAGGTGGCAGACCAGCCTCCTTCTCTGTCTTAGAACAATTTCAATCATTCATTGCCAATGCGGGTCTGCTAGATATCGGATTTAAAGGGCCCCCCTTCACATGGTCAAACCGTCAGGGCCTTAGTACTCATATTCTTGAGAGACTAGATCGTGGATTAGTATCGGATGTAGTCTTTAATACTTGGCCAAATGTGCAGGTGTCTCATCTTTCTGATCTTGGTTCTGATCATCGAATGATTCTTTTGCAGTTGGTTCCAGGATCAGGGAAGGGTAAGCCTCGCTTTCACTTTGACAGGAGATGGTGTTCTAACAACGAAGCTAGATGTATTGTTCTACAGGCTTGGCAGGCTGTGGTGGTTGGGACACCTCAATTTCAAGTCTTTTCCCTGTTGAAGGCTACAAGACATCAGTTTGTGAGCTGGGCGAGACAGGGAACTACAAATTCGGCGAGACAAATCCGCGAGCTTCGCCTGGCAATCGAGGATGAACGAGGTCAGCCTGCTGTCGATTGGGGTGTCATACAGGGATTGGAATCTCAGCTAGCTACTGCGTATCACCAAGAAGAGATTTTCTGGAAGCAAAAATCCAGAAATAGCTGGCTGCAAGTAGGGGATGCTAACACCAACTTCTTCCACTCAATGACAAATCAACGGAGACGCCAAAATACCATTGATTTGATCCGGGAAGAAATGGGAGTGGCTCATGTGGAAGAGAATGCCAAAGGTTCTGTTTCAGTCAACTATTTCCAGCACCTATTCTCTTCAAATGGCAACCCATTCCACTTCCTGGTGGCAACCCTTGGTCTCCCGAGGAAGGTTTCATTTGAGCAGAATCTCTCCCTCACTGCGACAGTATCCCACGACGAGATCAAACAGGCTGCCTTCAGCATTGGCCCATCACAAGCGCCGGGATCGGATGGGTTTACAGCTGCGTTTTACCAAGAGTATTGGGACATCATTGGGAATTCAGTCTGTGTGGCTGCATCATCATTCTTCAGGTCAGGTAGACTCTTACACAACTTTAATCATACTTTGATTACCTTACTTCCGAAAGTGCCAAATGCAGACTCGATGAAACAGATGCGCCCGATTGGATTATGTCAAGTCTTCTATAAGATCATATCGAAGGTACTTTCTTCTAGGTTGAGTTCAGTCCTGCCTTCGGTTGTTAGTGATGCTCAGAATGGTTTTGTTAAAGGAAGAGATATCTCAGATAACATTCTTATCGCTCAAGAAGTTATGCACTTCCTGAAAACCAAAAATCAAGGTAAGGAAAAATGGATGGCTCTTAAGCTAGATATGGAGAAAGCGTACGATCGGGTCGAGTGGGGTTTTCTGTTTGCTGTCATGGAAGCGTTGGGATTTGATGCCTCATGGCTGAAGTTAATCAAGGCCTGTGTAACGACGGTCACCTTCTCTGTGATCCTGAATAGCAATGTACATGGCTACTTCCACCCGGAACGGGGTATACGACAAGGTGATCCACTCTCTCCCCTCTTATTTGCCCTTTATACCGAAGCTTTCTCACATTTGATTACCAATGCCCTTGCCTCGAAACAATTACATGGTCTGAAAATTCATCACCTTGCTCCAATAACATCTCATTTGTTATTTGCTGATGACACTTATTTGTTTTTGCGAGCATCATCCTTGGAGTGCACTCATCTTATGCAGCTGCTGTCCGTATATGAGGCAGCAAGTGGACAAAAAATTAATTTGCAGAAATCGAAGGTATGCTTCAGTGCTAATGTGTTGACTCAGGAAGCCTTGGATCTGGCAGCGATCTTGGGTGTGGATTCCATTGGGGAACTCGACAAATACCTAGGTCTCCCTACCCAAATTCAGCGGTCGAAGGTTCAAACTTTCCGGTTTATTGAAGATGCACTAGCCCGGCGTATTCATAACTGGAAATCAAAGGCGCTCTCGTTGGCTGGGAAAGAGGTAGTCATCAAGGCTGTGGGATCGGCGACTCTTGTCTATGCAATGCTATCCTTTCGATTACCCTCCACTACTTGTCGGCGAATGAATGGGCAGCTTTCGAGGTTTTGGTGGGCTGGTCAGGATAAAGATAGAGGGATGCATTGGATCTCCTGGTCAGCTTTATGTGTCAGCAAATTCCGGGGGGGACTTGGCTTCCGAGACTTTGACATCTTTAACGTGGCTATGCTCGCTAAGCAGGCGTGGAAGATTCTCATGCAACCTCAGTCTACTTTGGCAAAGATGTATAAGGCTCGTTACCACGCTCATTGTGATTTCCTCTCCGCTCGGGTGGGAAACCGACCATCGTGGGCGTGGCAAGGGGTTCTCGAAGGTCGCAAGTTGCTCCAGAAAGGTCTTCGATGGCAAGTGGGATGTGGCACGGCCATCTTAATTCTCCAGGATTCATGGCTGCCCACCTCACCCCCTTCTTCTCCAACTCTCCTTCCTGGCGTCAATCTGGTAATCCATATGTTGCTTCGCTTATCCATCCTCTATCCCGCACCTGGAATGCTGAGTTCCTTCGTTCGCATTTCACTAGTGAGAGTGTTAAATGGATTCTATCGATACCACTTCCGGCCACTCCGCAGCCCGATAGGCTCATTTGGCACTACTCAACTTCAGGACTGTATACTGTAAAGACAGGGTATCACTTGCTCTCGGATGAACGGTTGGAAATGTTCGATGCCCTTCCCCCTCACCTGGATAACAAGTTCTGGAAATTGTTGTGGAGTTTACCTGTTCCCCCTAAACTGAGGTTCTTCCTTTGGAGGGTTGTTCGAGGATTCCTTCCTTGTCTGGCTATCCTTCACGGCAAATCCTTGAGTGAATCGAATATATGTCCTGTGTGTTCTGCTGATATAGAAACCATATCACATTGTCTTTTTGATTGCAGGATAGCTCGCGAGGTGTGGCGCTTGGCTGGGAAAGAACACCTTCGAGCTGCTGTTGCTACCAAACCGATTGACTTGGACTGGGCACATCTCTTTTTCTCTATGCAGATTAATAAGCTTGACTTGGCTGAGCTGGTTTTCCTTTCATGGCGCGTGTGGAAAGGGCGGTGTTGGTCATGCTATGACCACATCCAATATCTCCCAATGCCACTGCACAGACAGTTTCTTCTCCAAAGGGATGAATGGGTGGCTGCCTCCTCCACAGCAACTAGAGGGGAATCTTCTCTTAGGCGAACTACCAATCCTCCCCCCGTGATAATGTGCCCACCGAACGGACTGCTTCTCCGCTTTGATGGTGCCACCCGTGGAAATTCAGGCGGAAGTGTTGGGTTTGTTGGATTTTCAACTACTGACTCGATAATCTGTGCACTCGGTAAGTTCTATGAGGGCTTGTCTGACCCATTTTTACTTAAGGGATGCTATGGATTGGTGCCTAACGCAAGGTGTTCGTTCTGTTTGTTTTTGTGGTGACTCCCAACTGGTGATCCGGCGAGTGTTGGCAAATGATATTCATCATGATCGGGGGGGGGGGGGGGAGCGATTCTAGAAGAAGTTCGATTGATGAAGGCCTCATTTGAGTTTGTTCATTTTGTTTTTTCTCCTCGTAGAACTAACAGGGCTGCCCATTGCGTGGCGAAAACGGCTCTTGAATCGGTAGTTCAGCACTTGGCTGACTACCGCTATTTATTTTCCAACTCTTTGTAATTCCCTACCTATTACTATCCTACCTAAGTCAAAAAAAAAAAATTAAGGATTGCGGTTCGCGGGTTGATCCGGTCCGTCTGTACTTTTGCATCCTCCGAGGAGTTCTTCTGTTGGCAGTTTCCGCCATTGCCAAATTTTTTGAAACCGTCTCCCTCCCTCCTCTTCGGCTCTCTCCTTCCCTTCCGTCACCGAGAGACCCACCTTGTTATCTTCCCCACCCAGTGACCGTCTCTGTCTGTGAGTGCTATACTGTAACTGCTACGCTTCTCTTTTCAAAAGTCGCAAAACGCCGGACCCACCACCACCCACACTCCTCCTTCTCCAGCAACTGCTCACTTCACTCTCTCTCTCTTGCTTTTATCTCTGCTTTTGGCCATTGCCTCTCTTTTTCAAAACTCAAAAACTAACCCAGAAAAGAAGCATAAAAAAATACAGAGAGAGATAGGGAGAGAGAGAGAGACGAGAAAGAGCAAGAACCCTAGCAGCAGCCAGCCAGGCAACAGAAACCCCCTCCATTGCTTTTTGTTTTTTTGGGTGTTTGGGAAACGTCTCTTCTACAATACACTCTACAGTTTTCAGTTACGTACTCTCACTCTCGAAACTGTTTTTGGCTACTGGGGTTAGAATTAGATCTACTGTTCAATTCTCTCTCTCTTTCTCTCCTGCTCTGCCGTTTTCCTTCTCCGAAGACCTGCAGATTCTCCGGTGGTCGCCGACGAAGCTGCATTTTGTTGGTGGGTTTCACCGGATCCCACAGCTCCGCCGCCCAGTTTTTCCAATTTGGGGAAAAATTTACTGTGACGGTTGGAAATCACAGCAGCTGCCCTTGTTCTACTTGATGTTTTAAGCTGGTAAGTTGCCTTCGTCTTTAATTTCTTTCCCTTTTCGATTTTGAAGCTTCAGTGTAAGGCTTTTGCACTTTCCTAGTCTTCTTTTTAAATTATTTACTATAATAATTGTGCCACCTGCATTGCGACGAATACGAATCCCTTTGCGGTGGTTAACAGACTGTATTTAGCAATCAATTTTTGGGGTTTTGCTTGCAATCAAGCGTTTGATTTTGGGCTCATTCAAGAGCCGACAGTGACACCTTAACTGATTAGAATGTTAGTACCGACGGCCTAGTAGGTGCATTGCTTCAGATTGGGCTGTTTCCGCCTAACAGTTTAGATTAGCTGAACATTTTCTAAGGTTTAAGGGTTGCTGTTTCGTCCGATGCCCTTTCCCTTTTGCCCTTTTTTCGTGTTTTTGTAGCAATTTCTTGCCACCCGTTTGTTCAGGAAAATAGTAAAGTTCCTTGCTTTCACTCTTCTATCCGTGTTAAGTTTTGATTCCCTCTTCCCTTTTCTCTCACATAAACGTAACTTCGGATGACTAGCTGACCGCCATTGTTTTAATGATTAAATCCAGGGTACTTGTGCTTGGTTTGGTAGCACAAGTGGTGGAGTTTGTGAGTTATGGAGGAGCCCATGGCATCGTCTGGTGAAGACCCAGTTCAAGTTCAGATGCCTCTGACTGCAGCGGAGATGCATGCTCCTACTAGTCCTGCTGAAAGCACCAAGAAGGTTGCGAAGAAAGTTACAAAGCCCGTCATTTCACCAACTTCGAAGCTCTTGGCACCTACGGGTTCCATTAGAAAGAAGGCTGAACTCAAAAGCAGTTTTGATTCTAGCTTGAATGCAGTGAAACCGACTACTCCTGTTACTGTGTCATCCACCCGTAGTGCCACTTCAGTACCAGTAATTAGAAGGAACAGCACTGGTGGAGCGTCTGATAAACCGGGGAGCTCTGCAGTGAAAGGGCAAAATGGTGGTCCTGTTCTTGGGGCCGCAGGGAAGAAAAGTACTGCTGTGGTGGATCCTGTAAGGAGATCCCTTCCAGAGCTTAGAAGGAGTTCCTTGCCTTCTGTCGCTACAAAACCCACGGCTACTAGATCAAGTGTTCCCGGGGTTAGGAAGTCCTTGCCAGTGTCTCCTTCAGAAAAGAGTTTGAGAACTTCGATTTCTTCTGATGTCAGTATCTCGGGGACATCCCGCAAGCCTTTAGCTAAGCCAACACTGTCAACCTCTTCTTCATCTTCGAAAAGGGTTTCATCTACATCATTGGAGAGCAGTGCCAGTAGTGTGAGTAGGAAGACAGTGTCAAAAGTTTCTTCACCCTCTACTCGTTCTCCTTCAGTTTCTAGTGGATTTCGAACTGCTTCATTGTCAACATCCGTCGATAGGAGTTCCAGCTTGTCTGCAAGGAAGAGAGCAGGTACCCCTGAAAGTCGGGATTCTCGGTTCATTGCACTGCCCCAAATTGAGCTTAAAGGTGGTGATGATGTGGTGAGCTTGCTATTGCTTCAGCCTCTTCTGTTATCTTAAATTTATTCCAGAATGCTGTTGAATGTCCACTATGGTCACTTCTTACCCGGAGGGTTGGTTATTGGAGGATGTATAAGAGCCTGAGAAATTACATAGATACTGTCCACTGTTTCCTTCCATTATGCATACTGAACTCCTTTCTTTTAGTTAGATCAATATCTATGAAGTTTTATCCTTATTAAGTTGATAATTTTCCTTGAAGACTTTCTTGGGAAGTTAGACGACATTGTCACTTGAGTATTCCTAGTTAGTGGGTATTCCTTTTCTTCCTCCTCTATTTTGCTCCTCGATCCCGAGAGCTTGGTTTCCCTCCATCTTTGTTACTCTCATCTTGCTTTTCCTTTTCATCTTTGGCTCACTAAGAATTTCATTTTCGTCTTCTAACTGTGTCGTTGGATCAGAGATTGGACCTTAGGGGTCAGAGAGTTCGCACCCTCAATGCTAATGGATTGCACTTGTCAGCCAACTTAGAGGTATCAATATTTCAGATGCATATAATGTTAAAATTGTCTGCTCCAAAAAATTCATGCCAGGACTTTCCTTCACTGACTTGTGTTTGACAGTTTGTTTATCTCAGAGACAATCTGTTATCTACACTAGACGGAATTGAGATATTGAAGCGTGTAAAGGTTTGCTATACTCCAATGTTGTGTCCAATGTCACGTTGTGTCCAATGTCACGTTGTGGCCTTCTTCTGTTACTCTTATACAACGAAGGCTGCTTGGTTGTGTAAAAAGTTGGTTTCAAGCAGTCTGGTCAGTACGTAACAATTGTCTTTTCACAGGTTCTTGATCTGAGTTTCAATGAGTTTAAGGGGCCTGGATTTGAGCCTCTTGAAAATTGCACGGCCTTACAGGTTGGATTTCATACCCACCTATCTTTTGTGTTTGATTTCTAAACAAGATAGTTGAATTAGGCATCTAGTGTGATCCTCAAATATCTGTCATTTGTAGCAACTCTATCTCGCTGGGAATCAGATCACATCACTTATAAGCCTTCCTCAGCTACCTAACCTGGAGGTTAGTCTATTGATCTGCCTGCCTTAGATGTTGATGTTGATTGACTTCTGATCAGTAGTTGTTGTTGACACCTTATTCTTCTTATGGTCATAGTTCTTGTCTGTTGCTCAAAACAAGCTCAAGTCCCTTGCAATGTCAAGTCAACCTCGATTACAGGTGTGAAATATTTGTCTGCTCAATAAGTTATTATTCCCCCAGTAGTGGCTGACCTATTGTTTTGGGCTTTCGTCCTCTCTCTTTCTCGCAGGTTTTAGCTGCTAGCAAAAACAAAATATCAACTCTCAAGGGTTTCCCTTATCTTCCTGCCCTTGAGGTTAGTTTTCAATTTCTTAGAATCATTCTGTAATTAATAGATTCTGTTATAGATTTATTATGAATGCCTTTGCTGGTTAAGTGTCTCATTTAGTGTGGTCTCCATTGGTTAATTAAGTTTTCAGGAAATGCAATATGATCACTTAGCCTGAACCTGTCCAGTAGGATTTAGAAAGTCATCCATTCTTTTGCTTACAATTTCAGTCTGAAGTAATTGATGTCCACCTATTCAAGTTCTGTCTTGGGCAGACAACAAATCAGTGTTCTCAGTAGTGCTAGGGCTTAATACACGAAGTCACTAGTCGAACTAGCTGCTTTGTATGATTAGCATCATAGCACTGGAATTTGAAATGAAGGTTTTATGTGAAATAGATTTTGGATTTTCAGCTGGTTGGTTTAATCTTCACTTTCTGGAGATACCGTGTGATTTTCAACTCATTATCGTTTCATTGGTTATGGAGCTATTTTGTAGCATTTACGAGTTGAGGAGAATCCTATACTTAAGATGCTGCATTTAGAAGCTGCTTCTATATTGCTTATTGGTCCTACACTGAAGAAGTTCAATGATCGAGGTATTTTTTAAAGTTGTATCTGATCATGCAGTTGGAAACTTTCTCCTTATGGCATGCAATGTATGGTGTCATATATAGAGCTAGTTTTGCTGTTATCTCTTGCATGTCCCCCCTGTATTACTCTTAACTTTATGTTACCACTTTTTGTTGTGTTGTGATGTTTTTAAATATGATAGATCTCACACGTGAGTCAGTAGCAATGGCTAAGCGGTATCCAGCATGCACTGCATTGTGTATTAGAGATGGCTGGGAGTTCCGTCGTCTTGAGAATGCATCAGGTGCATGTTCAGTAGTGGTTTGATTTAAAATGATGCAATGGCCTTGTAGGTTACCCAAATGATTAATCCTAAGACAAGTGCGATTTCAGCAGCAATAGTTTGACTTGTAGTATGTTGAACAGATGCAACTTTTCACTTTCTTTTGGAGAAATGGAAGGACCAGCTGCCAGCTGGTTATCTTCTTAAAGATGCGCGTGTTGATCAACCTTTTGAGGATGATATCTGCCGCTGCCACTTCAACTTTGTCCAAGATGGAATTCCAAGTGACGAAGCACCATTGGTCTTGAAATATCAATGGTTTGTGGGGCAAAGACCACTTTCTGACTTCACTCCTATTGCTGATGCCAATGAAGAGGTAACTGATTCTTCAGTGATGGATAAATGTTCTTTACTAGACACCAATTATCTTCTTATGGTGCCATTTTATGGTCAGGTTTATTGGCCAAAGCGCGAAGATATCCGTAAATTTCTGAAGGTGGAGTGTACTCCCGTAATTGGAGAAACTGAGTATCCAGCTATTTTTGCCATATCGTCCCCTGTTTCCCGAGGTATGTTGTCACACGAGCATTTTGATTGATTATTGCTATTTGGGATATGTTGAAGCAAATCCACACGAGCACACATGTTAGACTTTATCTTGGTATTCCAATTGGTGTTTGATTTATTTTTATGTAATTTTATGTAAACTGTCTTCGAATGTTTCTTGATTGTTCCACCGTATGCAGGAAATGGTATTCCAAAAGTAGTTAACCTTGAAGTTTGCGGGGAGTTGGTGGAAGGAAGTGTAATCAAAGGCCAAGCTAAGGTTGCATGGTGTGGTGGGACTCCTGGTAAAGGTGTTGCCAGGTAAGATTCTGTCTCAAACAGTAAATGAAGGGGGAGCAGTTGGACGTTCGTGTACTGTTAAATTAGAAGGAAGTACCCTGAAGTTGATTCTTGCCTTTTTCAGTTGGCTGAGGAGAAAGTGGAACAGTAGCCCAGTTGTCATTTCTGGAGCAGAAGATGAGGAATACCGCTTGGCTATAGACGATGTTGATTCCAGTCTTGTCTTCATGTATACACCTGTTACAGAGGAAGGCGCTAAAGGAGAACCTCAGTATAAGTACACAGATTTTGTTAAAGCAGGTCTGCAAGGATTTAGTCGAATGACTCTCTTAAATTGACATCATCATCTATAATAAAATCTTTCCAGTTTAGACTAATGCTAGACAAAATGCTTTATTTTCTTTTGTGCCCTTATTGCATTGTGAACTGACTTGGTATGTTCGCTTTGTCAGCTCCTCCATCAGTCAGCAATGTACAAATTGTCGGGGATGTGGTTGAAGGAAATATCATAAAAGGTGTTGGCAACTACTTTGGGGGACGAGAGGGTCCTAGCAAGTTTGAGTGGCTACGTGAGAACAAGGACAGTGGGTTAGTTTCCACGTTCTTTCTTGCCTGTAACGGAATTGATATTACGGCAGAGATGGACTGCATATTCCCTTGTCTGTGTTTACATTTTGCCTTCCGATCCCAAATTTGAAATCTTGTTCTGTCCTGCTCCATATGCTTACTGGCTAGCTTTTCTGCCTGTCAGCACGCTTTTAGTCAGTTCCTTATCTTGTCCCTGTATATCTGGTTTTTCTCTTTGCATGTACTAGACCCTTTCTATTTTACTATTGTGTGATTTAAGCTGAAGATCCTTTCTCGCATTCCTACTGATCAAATATTTCTGTGATTGGCAGAGAGTTTGTTGTTGTATCATCTGGTACGTCTGAATATACGTTGGCAAAAGGAGATGTTGGCCATCGTGTAGCTTTTGTTTATATCCCTACTAATTTTGAAGGTTGGTCCGTTGACTTACTGGTTGGGAACCATACTATTTTATTTGTGATTTGAGTGTCATGAACCATATATTGGTATGGTCTACAGGACAAGAAGGCGAATCTATGTCAGTCATGACTCATGCAGTTAAGCAAGGTAGATATATGAATCTTTTCATAATGTACCCATCAAATTATATGCTATGTCAGTGTCATTATCAGTCTTGGTAAAATTCTTGGTTACTGAAGAATGGGATAGTTTTGACAAGTTCATTCTCTACTCTGTAAACAAATTATTGGTGAACCGTACTTCTACAGGGGCTTTTGTTCTTCTTGTTAGCAATTTAGATAGCAGGGAGCATGGAAATTTTCATCCAGGCACCGCCAAGTTTTGTGTATTTCCATTGGAAGGCTGATCAAATGAAACAACTCAATTCCATAGAGGAATTAGAGTTATGGGACCCAATGTCAATAGTAGAGTTTACTCGAGTCATAATTGTAATCAATGAGATGCTACTATACTGAAAGAAAAGTGATTTTGAAAATGCTATGAACCATTTCCAACTTTTCCTTGAAGTTGAAGATATTGCAAAGGTTCAGGACAGTGTTTAAACTTCAAATGAGTGAAGTCTAGGTGAGGGATAGGTCCTGGCATCTTAGTGTTTCTGTGGAATTTTCTTTTGATAAGGTGATTGAGCATTATTTTTCTCTATTCTGTGGCATGTTGGTTTTGCTTTCTCGGTGAGCTTGTAGCATGTGTGGTTTATCATGTACACTGCAATTTGTTTGATCTGTTATTTTCTTTTCTATGTTTTGCTGTGCAAGTGTTACATACGACCACTTATTATTCTGTTTTTCTTTGTACATAAACTTAGCTCCCCCAAAGGTATCAAATGTCAAGATAATTGGTGATTTAAGAGAAAACAGTAAGATTACTGTTACTGGTGTTGTTACTGGAGGAACAGAAGGTTCCAGCAGAGTACAGTGGTTCAAAACATCATCTTCAACATTTGATGGTGACAATGGTCTTGAAGCGCTGAGCACTTCCAAGATTGCGAAGGTATGAATTGGCTGTGTGACTGCAGTTGGCAGATCATATACACTCATATGGTCTTTTGTTTGATCATGCTATACAAGTTCATGGTCAAACCTTCCTTTTCATCCAGGCATTCCGGATTCCTCTTGGAGCAGTTGGCTATTACATTGTTGCAAAATATACTCCAATGACTCCAGATGGGGAATCTGGTCAACCAGCATATGCAGTGTCAGATGCAATCATCGGAAGTAAGTGCATGTCTCATTATCGGGTTGTTATTCTTTTGGAAAAAATTTACTGACTAGAAGGAAATCTATTGTTGAGTGTTCTGCGTCAACTCAATTTAGTCGTCTAATTTCCGGATGTCCAACCCCTTCTCCAGCCCTTCCGCCAAGCCTAAATTTCCTGTCTATAAGTGGTGACTACACCGAAGGTGGGATATTGACAGCATCATATGGCTATGTTGGAGGCCATGAAGGGAAAAGCATATATAATTGGTATCTTCACGAGGTACGCATTAATCACATAGTATGCAGTTAAATATTCATTTTTTACCCCTGGAGGTATGATTTTCCCTGATTCCCGTCTTGGTTGAACTGAAATGTTCACAGAGCATTTGAGTTTCAGGCTTATTTCAGTCTGTTATTACTAGGTTGTTGTTATGTTTGTAATGCCTGGGTGAGGGATTGTCCATCTTGGCTGTTGCCGATCTTTTTTTACTTCTAGGTCGGACTTGGGAAGAACGGGGATGTTGCTTTCTGTGTAGCATTCATGCTTTCAATGGTAACATATTTATTTTTATTTGTTTGTTACAAAATTCCCAGGTAGAAACGGACTCTGGTGGTGTCTTGATACCTGAAGGTTGTGGAGTCCTTCAATATCGGGTTACCAAAGATGCTATTGGAAAATTTGTATCGTTTGAATGTGTCCCAGTGCGTGATGATGGGATTATAGGCGAGCCTAGAGGTTGCATGGGCCAGGAGCGTCTTCGACCTGGTGAGAGTCCTGTTGACGAGATTGGAATTTACTCGTTCCTTCATGTCACGCTGCAATGATGATTTTTTCTGATTACAATACATTTGAAAAATTTACAAAAGCTGGTTGAGCTTAATTATCTGATCTACCTGCACATCCTTATTATTCAGGCTAGTATGCTTAATCGGCTATTAATATGACTTTACACTATCTAATGCTTTGAGCACCATTATAAATCTCTAAGTCAATTTTTGCTCGTCGACATTCAATCTCTAAATCGATATAATGCTACTTTGAATCCCTTCATGGACTGCGAACAAAGTTTTTGTTCTTTGCAGTCTGTACGATAGATAAGTTTCAGTATTCGATTGGTTTTCTTTTTAAAAATTCAGATAAACTGTTCGAACTGTGTGACAAGTAAATCTGCGCTTCTTATAGTTTTTTTTCTCTCTCTGTCATAGATTCTTATCCATTTTGTTTGCCATATGTAGGAAGTCCACGATTGCTCTCTCTGCAACTAGTTGGCAGTGCCGTTGAAGGAACTCTGCTAAGTATCAAGAAGAAGTATTGGGGAGGTGAAGAGGGAGAATCAGTTTTTCGTTGGTTTCGGGTAATTTTACTTTGAAACTGGCACTCTGCAGTTTCCAGAAGGATGATAAGTGAAACTTGAAGTGAAATTTTCTGCATACTCAGCAGTCCATTCCTGTTATTTTCTTCACTCATTAGTTGGTCTCATGCAGAGTGGCTCGGATGGCACACAATTCGAAATTCCTGGTGCCAACGATTCTTCTTATACCGTGGCAGTTGATGATATTGGCTACTTCGTATCTGTTTCATGTGAACCTGTAAGAAGCGATTGGGCACGTGGTCCAGTTGTCCTTTCTGAACAAATTGGTCCGATCACTCCTGGTATCCGTTTTCTTAAACTGATTTCTTATTACAGTTTTCACATGGTTTAGTTTAACTGTATACTGCTAAGTTACTGAATGTTTAAGTTCTGAAAGCATCCAATGTGTAATACCTGTGTTTGGGGGCAGATCATTCTTATACTTTCTTCCAACTTCGCAGGCCCTCCAACTTGTCAATCTTTAGAGTTTCTTGGATCGATGATCGAAGGGCAGCGAGTCAGCTTCATTGCTACTTATACTGGAGGGTGAGAATTTTAGTGAAATGCAATGTTACCTTTCTTTGGTTCTTGTCCCTGGACTATACGGATTAACCCTATTGTCTGTGATTCAGGGAGAGAGGAAATTGCTGCCACGATTGGTTTAGAGTGAAAAGCTATGGTGTGAGGGAGAAACTTAGCGATGACGGTACTTGAATCTTTGTGCTTTATTTCGAAGTTTGACTCATCTTGTAGAATCCTTTACTAAGATGTTGTAATGCTTTCTTGCAGACTTTGTGGATTTGACCTTGGAAGATGTTGGAAAACGTATTGAATTGATCTATCTTCCAGTTCGCAAAGATGGTTCAAGGGGAAGTCCTAAGACCATAAAATCTGATGTTATTGTACCTGGTGAGGTCTTCAAAGCATTCAATACTGATTGAAAACTTCCTCTTGTGACCGCTATCCATGTCTATATTTTCTAGAGTTCGAAAATATTCTTTGCCAAATGAAAACTTCCATTTTAATTGCCCGTGTCACCGCTTCTGGTTATCCTGGAATGATATTGAACTGTCTATCTCTTTCAGTTCGTTTTGCGAATACTGGGCCTTATAATTATTATTCGGGTCTTGTTTGTGCCTTCTCACAGCCGATCCAGTTGGACTGGAGCTTAAGATTCCAGATTGTTGTGAAGAAGTGGAGGTGATTCCACATACACAGTACTTTGGTGGACAAGAAGGTCCAGGAGAGTTTGTCTGGTACAGAACCGAGGACAAGCTTCATGGATCGGCACTAATGGACATACGCCATGCATCTGAAGATGTAGTTATTTGTGGAAAAACCTTGTAAGTTGTAACATGAGCCAGTTATGACAATTTGCCAAATTATGTTTCTTTCCCCCCTGTTAGTTGGAATTAAAGATGAAAGCAAAGTTTCTTCCTAAAAAGTTGGTCTTGAACTGTACTACTGCTCAGGGCATACACTCCCTCACTTGAAGATGTCGGATCTTACTTGGCCTTATACTGGGTGCCCACTCGTGCCGATGGTAAATGTGGAAAGCCATTGGTTGCTATTTCCAGCTATCCTGTTAACCCAGGTAACTGAGGTGTTCCTAATGTCAGTTTCCCTAGCTCTTTGTACATCCTGACTGGTCATGTACACCTAAATAGTAGACAGATTTGCTTGTACACCCTAGTTGGCTGTTCTGTTCTGTTGTGCTATGAACTTGTTTTGCCATATTGAACTTACAAGTTTTCTGAACTTCATCTAGATGGTCTGGTCAAGACACCTCCAACCTTTTTTTTCTCTTTAAGGCAGAGACCTTTAGGTTGGTGTCTTACCAAGTACTAAGCTCTTTGCTTTCTTTAACAGGGTCACCAACAGTTTCTAATGTCCATGTCAAGGAGTTATCGGCGGGTGTCTATTGTGGAGAAGGGATATACTTTGGTGGGTATGAAGGATCCAGCAGGTTTAGCTGGTACAGAGAAACTGACGAGGGAAATATGATTCTCATTGATGGAGCTAACTCTGTAACTTATGAAGTCACTGAATCTGACTACACTTGCCGCTTGTTGTTTGGGTAACTGCTAGGATTTTTTTTTGCTTTTATAATTATATAGCTGTCCATCGCATATGTCTCGCGTACAATATCTGCATGCAGAAAGTTACTTTATCTTTCTTGAAGTGTTTCTGTACTTCACATTTCCTTCCTCTTAGCTTAGACATTTGAGACTCCTGACGTTTTCTCGTATTCGCTTGCGTGAATGTTAAAACTCTGGTACTGTACTCGTAACATCAAATAAATGGTTGAGGTTCTCCTTACAGATACACACCAGTTCGCTCAGATTCAGCTGTTGGAGATCTTGTACTGTCTGCCCGAACTGACATTATTCTCCCTGGTAAGTAATGGTTGTGGGAAGTATGCTGGAACTTTCTGGTAATTTGTTCACTAGTGTTTTCTGCAGCCTTAAATTTGTTCTTCCTGATCCGGTTTGTCAATTGTTTTGCTAATTGCTGGTACACCATTTGTGTTATTATCCCAGTTGTTCTGAATAAAGTAGCCTGATGCTCTATTTTTTAACCTTAGAACTTCCAAGAGTGGAAATGCTTGCTCTCACTGGAAAGGCAATAGAAGGAGATGTACTTACTGCTGTTGAGGTCATTCCAGAGAGTTTAACTCAACAATGTGTTTGGAGCAAATACAAAAAGGGAGTCAAATATCAATGGTGAGTCATTACAGTCTCTGAGAAGCAGTTGGCACTTCTATCAGACATCAAAGAACACCCTGTTTCTTCATACCCTTTGAAAATACTAGGCTGATGTGAAAGTGAAATGCTGGGTCTGACTACGCTTGAGCTGTGTTAATCATTACTTTATGATATAGCTATATGTAGTGAACTTTTGAATATAAGAAACTGCAGTCTGCAGGGATGTTGTAGGAAAATGTTTACCCTCGCTGACAACTATCATAAACTGCAGATAATCGTGATTTAATTGTGAGGGAAAACATGCTAAGTTGTTTCTGTTGATATCAACTTAATGACGTGATTGATTTTGATTTTTGACTCTCTCTTGGCCTGTTAGTTCTTCTTGTTTGTTGGTCATGGTTGGTTTTATGCTTCCATAATTTAAACACATACATGCTTGCAGGTTCTGTTCATCTGTGTCAGGGGAGAGCAACTGTTTTGAGCCATTGACTACACAGGTTTCATGCTCTTACAAGGTGCGGTTTGAGGACATTGGTCGGTGCTTGAGATGTGAATGCATTGTGACTGATGTCTTTGGAAGGTCAAGTGAGCCAGCATATGCTGAGACCACTGCTGTATTGCCAGGTTCAGCCTTCCAGCAACTCTTTTCATTGACTATCCTTTTCTGTAATGATTTGATTTGACCTAGGCATCAGTTTGGAAAATCATTTACTGTTCTATCTTCTTCTGAGTTTATAGTGCATCAAGCATCCTTGATGGGTAGAATTAGTCTTGGTGCTGTTCTAGAATTTTGTACCACATTTTCTGGATTAAAACTTTTTTATTGTGAATGTCTAATTTATTTTGTTGTACTCCTACTTAGAAATCTACTTTATTTTATTCTATTTTGTTATCCATGTTTAGGCATTCCTAGAATACACAAGCTGGAGATTGAGGGAAGGGGCTTCCACACAAACCTATATGCCGTGCGAGGCCTTTATACTGGGGGAAAGGAAGGGAAAAGTAGAATCCAATGGCTTAGATCAATGGTTGGGAGTCCGGATCTTATCTCCATACAAGGTATGTAATATAAGTTGATGTTTGCCTTTGTCTATCAATTTTTTTTGTGTGCCAGAAAGCAACTTCTACACCTTCGTACCTGTTTATTTAGCACTGTTTGCACTTCTTACCTCTACACTTCTGCATGCGATTTATTTACCAGCATAGGAGTCAGTTTTGGAATTGAAAGAACTGGTTCTGAGACAGAAGCTTATTTATCCTATTGGTTGGTACTCTTTAGCTGTGAAATTCGTCTTAATCTACTTACCAAAAGGGAAAAAGATTGCGTGAATCTGCTAATCAAAATTGCATATGGATGTCTGATGAAATGCCAAGTTATGGCTCCATGTCTTCGAGATATCTACTTCAACATTATGATCTGTCAGATTTCCTTTGGCTTCCTAAATGGTTGATTGTTTTATACATTGCAGGAGAGGTTGGGAGGATGTACGAAGCTAATGTTGATGATGTGGGGTATAGGCTAGTTGCTATCTATACACCAGTGAGGGAAGATGGCGTCGAGGGGCCACCTGTATCTGCATCAACAGAACGAATTGCTGTTGGTAAGTTTGTGGATTTATGCTCATAGATCCTTCTTTATCTTTCACTCTCCAGGTGTCATTTGGACCATTAACCTCTAATAGCATATACTAGTTAATCCTGCTGCGACTGTTGAATATCCTTGCTAACTATTGTGACCTTTTTAATTTCGCAGAGCCTGATGTTTTAATAGAAGTGAAACAGAAACTCGAACTTGGATCTGTGAAGTTTGAGGTCTGTAGTTTTTACTTCCCCTTTTCCGATAATCTCATGAGACTGTAGGTGTAGGATGTGCAAACTGATTAAGGAAGTCTTTGTTAACAGGTATTATGTGACAAGGACCGTTCTTCAAAAAAGGTTGGTTTTGCAATTTTAAGTTGAAAGATTTTCTAAGCGTGTATGTATGTCTTGAAATTACACAATTTTCGGTTCTGTATTCTGCAGTTCCCAGGGGAAACCAGTCTGGAGAGAAGAGTACTCGAGATCAACAGAAAGAGAGTGAAGGTTGTGAAGCCAGGTTCCAAGACTTCATTCCCGGCTACTGAAATTCGTGGCACTTATGCTCCTCCTTTCCATGTAAGTTTCTCTCTCGCAGTATTCCAGATAAGTTTTCCCGTTGATTCCAAAAGCAAAGAAACGCTGAATTATTGATGGACACCCTAATGCTCCAGGTTGAACTCTTTCGCAATGACCAGCACCGTCTTAAAATTGTAGTGGATAGCGACAATGAAGTTGACTTGATGGTGCATTCCCGGCACTTGAGGGACATCGTTGTTCTTGTCATCCGAGGCTTTGCTCAGAGATTCAATAGTACATCTCTGAATTCTCTGCTTAAAATCGAGACATGACACTTGGGGTTTTGAGAAGTGATATTGTAAAGTGAAAAAGCACATGAAAAAAGCCGCAGAGAGATAGCAGTCTCTAGTTTTATGATTTGCTTCTCTTCTTGTTTACCATTTTCCTTCTGCAGCAAAACATGTTTGACCAATTTGTGAGTGCAGTTGTGATTTTTTATTGCTTTGTGATGATGTGAGGCTATGGAAACACCTTTGGCCCATAATTTGCCATCAGTGTATATATGTACAAGAATTGTTCAAATGGAAGTTGTTTGAGGAGCTTCGCCTGTAGTCATTTTTTTCTTCTTCATTGTCAGACCCAAGTTGAAGAGGTGTGTAATGATTTGGTCTTTTTTTTTGGTAAGGATAATGATTTGGACCATTTCTGACTGAATGATGCATAATTGACATTTGGATCGAACTGGATCTGGATTGAACCTAGTTCATTCTTTCTTGATTTCATGGGTTCTCTTAAAAACAAAGCAGAAAGTAGCCTGAATCGCATCTGATCAGATCGAATTGGGTCAAATGTTGTTTAGATTCAACTATAATATGAATTCAATTTTCCCTTTTGCTATGGTCATGCTAATTTCTATTAGCTACCCTAGCTCTATCTTATGCAGCAAAGCTTCAGTCAAGAATTGTGTCCGTCGGCTGTTGTAGCTGCCCTTCTTCAATCCTAACAGTAGCGTGGGTTTCTCTCTCAATTTCTTTTGCTGCATCATAGGAAGCATGGAGTGCAACAAAGATATAGTACACAAGCAACACAGCTGACCAGATCGCAAACCTAGCGAAAGATGCAGCGTCGATAGAGCCCATCACAAACACATTCATGGCTATACTAGCAGAGGGCAGCCATGGCAGGAACGGCACCCCCCAAAACTTCGGCTTCCTAGCTTGCTTCACAAACACCTGCATCCCCAGCGTCGCTAAAAACCAAATCGGCGCAGCAATCGCATACCCAATCCACCCACCTCGTCCAATCGCCCAGTAAGCACTCCCTCCACACGACGATCCCACAATCACCACCAGGAAGAAAACCATCTTCCTCTTATCCGAATCCGTCGTCTCCCCAGCAACGTAGTATCTCCTAACTAGCAGTCCCAGAGCCACAAGCGAGAAGATGAACAGGGTGGCAATGGAAAGCAGAGAAGACAGAACATCCAAGCTAGTGAAGCAAGCTACTACAGAATTAGCGACGGTCATCACAACCGTCGCTACTAATGGCGTCCCCGTCTTCTCGTTAATATAGGCCAGAATCGGCGGCGCCATGTGGGTGCGACTGATGTGAGTGAAGTACCGAGACTGCGCGATAATGTTCGCCAGCAGAACCGTCGTCATTCCCTTCAGCGCACCAATGGCGACGATATACTTCGCCCAGTCCATCCCCACTGCTTTGAACGCGACGGAGAATGCAGCATCGGTGTCGATTTCGTAGTAAGGTTGCATCATTGTCAGGCACGCCGCGAGGAGGCAATAGACAGTGATCACTACAGTCATCGAGCCGACGAGCCCCAGGGGAATATCCCGACCGGGGTTCTTCACTTCCTCGCCGAGAGTAGCGACGCCATCAAAACCGACGTAAGCGAAGAACAACATTGCCGACGCTTTCATAACGCCGCGAATTCCAAAAGGGGCGAAATTTGAGACGTTCTTGGGATCGGCCTTGGTGAAGCCCGCAGCGAGGATGAAGATCAAAACCACCAGATGGATGATTGTGGTGACGAAATTGAACCTTGACGACCCTTTCGTGCTCCACGAGGCGGCGACGCAGACGACGAACGAAACAGCGACGGCAATTGGATCCAGATAGTTGTAGTCCGTCGCTAAAGATCCGACGTAGATTCGGAATCCGTTTGGTTCGCCATTGCAGAGCGTCGCGAAGTACGACGTCCACGACCTCGCGACGCTCGCTCCGGCGACGATGTACTCGAACAGAATGTTCCCGGCAGCAATGTACGCCACGAAGTCTCCTAATTCGACTCGCAGATAGGCGTACGAGCCTCCGGCGACCGGCAATTCGACTGCGAATTCGCTGTAGCACAAGACGGATAGCATCGCGCAAACGCCGGAGATTAAGTACGAGATGACGACGGCGGGGCCGGCGTCGTCCCTTGCCGCTTCGCCGGTGAGGACGAAAATTCCGGCGCCCATGACGGCGCCCATCCCGAACCAGATCAGGTCCCACCAATTGAGCGTCCTCTTCATCTCGTTCTCGCTCCGAGCTCGAACGCCTTCGAGCTCGAGGCTGTCGAGAGATCGGGAGACCAGCCGGTCTTTGAGCCTCGGGATTGTGTTGGAGAGGGCGTTGAAGTAATTCCCCCAATTTTTGAATGATTCCTCCGGGAGGAAATCGTCCTTGTCGCAAAAACATCGTCGCTTTTTAGCTTTAGTAACACTGTGGTCGCCATTGTTCCCGTCGCCATTGCTCCCGTTGTTGTTGGTCGCGGTTGTTGTGGACATTGGCGAGTTTTGGTTATTATTAATCAGAAGGTGTTGCGGTGAGAACTGAGAAGTGCATCTAATTCTTGATTAAGGAGCTTGTACTGAGAAATTAGGATGGCGAAACTAACTAAAGAATGCTGATTAAGGAGGGGATTTAGGAGTGAAAGATCGGATCTCGTTCTATTATTTTTTGCCCATAATAGCAATTTGATTCATCTCAGTTTTGGCACTAAAAGTGACGACATACATGCAGATTCTTGCTGAGAGTAGAGACGAAAGTGAGAAGCCACCACACACTTAGTTCAGCATGGCTAATTTCCTTCGGTTAGTTAGCTGGCCAATTTTGAAATATATTATATGCCGGTACATACTACATATAGTGATGCATAATTTCTCATATATTTTTGCGCTATACTTCGTGAAGAGGTTTATCTACATAATTATATTTGATTTGGCTTTCCTGTTACTTAGCAAACAAAACTATATACATATGCTGCAAACCCAATAGCTCTTACCCCCGAATTTCCCAATGCCTTCAAAAAAATTTACAGTATTGTGATTGGTACTTATAGTACAATACTTTGTTACCTTCACTCTTTTCATCTATTCATACTCTAGGAGGTGGCAATTTTGTATCCAATCTAACAATCCAATTCAATGTTTCCCATCTGCCAATCAAATTTTGTATCCAATCTACTAATTCAATCAATTTAAATCCAATTTATTTGATCCAAATTCAATTGGATTGTTAATTCATAGAGCATTGACGAATTACAGTTTAGTACCTATAGTTTTTATATTTTACAATTTGGCACCTAATCTTTTCTATTATGATATTTTAGTACATAAACCTTTCAAAACTTACATATTGGACCAATGTTTAGATGTCACTTGGATCCATGATCTAATCCACCAATCCAGAAATCCATACATCTACCAATCAAATCTAATTGCCACCTCTACAGCCATAGGCCATACTAACGGACATCGTCAACATTCCCTTCTTCAACCCGCTTCTTCTCCTCCTCCGACTCCTTTGCCACATCGTAAGTCGCATGCATCCCGAAAAAGAAGTAATACACCAACAACAACGCCGTCCACATGCCAAACCTGCCAAACGAAGCCTTATCGATCGACCCCAGCAAGAATACATTAACCATGATCGATATCGACGGCAGCCACGGCACCAGCGGGACCCCCCACACCGTGGCTTCCCTCGCCCGCGGCACGGCCACTGCTAGCCCAAGGGTTGCCAAAAACCACACAGCCACGGTGACCACATACCCAACCCACCCGTCTACCTTCAACCCCCACATCATCGCTGTCGCAGTGGCGCCTCCCAGGATCCCCACGATGCAGCCGATCAGCTTCAACTGATCGGCCTTCGTCGTTACGCCGGAGACATAATAGCGACGGACCAGAAGCGCCAGAGCGACCAGCATGAAAATGAACAGCGTGGAGATGGAGAGAAGGTTGGACAAGATACGGAGCTTGGTAAAGAAGGCAACGACGGCAGTGGCTCCGAGCATGACAACTGTCGCGTTGACTGGAGTGCCGGTTTTGGAGTTGACCTGAGCTAGCCAGGGTGGCATCATGTGGGTTCGGGCTATGTGGGTAAGATATCGGGCCTGGCCCACGGCAGAGCCCAGCAGACATGTGGTCATTCCTTGTAGGGCCCCAGCCGCGACGATGTACTTGGCCCAATTCAATCCAACGGTCTCGAACGCGATCGAGAATGCTGCATCGGCATCGAGATTCGTGTAGGGGACCATGAGGCAGAGGACCGCGGCTAGAAGGCAATAGGTTATGACTACCACGACCATGGACCCCACCAGGCCCACGGGGATGTCCCTTCCGGGGTTCTTAGTCTCCTCGGCCATGGTCGAGACGGCGTCGAACCCGACGTAGGCGAAGAAGATGACGGCGGCGGAGTCGAAGATGCCACGAGCTTTGTAAGGGGCGAATGGGGTGAAGTTTTTGACGTCGGCTTTGCAGAAACCGGCGACAATGATGAAGAGGATGGCTGCCACGTGGAGGATGGAGGCGATATAGTTGAAGCGAGAGGAGCCCTTGGTGCTGAGCACGGCGAGGATGCAGACGACGGAGGCGACGCCTACTGCGATGGGGTCGAGGTGGCGGTAGTCGTCCGGGAGGCTGTGGGCTATGATGCGGAAGTCGTCCGGATTGTGATTGCAGAGGGTGGCGAAGTAGGATGTCCATGAACGAGCTACTGCAGCGCCGCCGATTACGTACTCGAGTAGGATGTTGCCGGCCGCGATGAAGGCCATGAAGTCGCCCAGTTCTACTCTCAAGTAAGCAAATGACCCACCTGATCGTTGCAAACCAAAATAAAAATTAATCTTTTGCTGGTTGGTTGTTGGCTCAAAGGTTAAAACCTAAAGTGTGAGGGATGTTTTCATTCCTACATTACTAATAGGCCTTTTCACCTCATACGGCTCCTAGAAGGCCATAAAAAAAATATAAATCGGATCAGATTCTTTTTCTTTATCTTGTATCTTGATCTGTTTGTACGATAGATAGGAAAAAATGGACGAAACTTAGCTGCAACCCGGGTTGTAGCCAACCCTGCTGCCGGGCCACATGTCCTCAAATAATTGGTTGCTTTTCTTCAATAATTAATGATTCTGTGTTTATTTTAGGAAATGGAACTGCAAGCTAACGGAGGTCCGGATGTATAGGCGGACGGAATTTCTATTTGGATGACCACTTCTTTTTTTCTTTTGCATATTCACTCCTTGTGCTATTAAGGAGTCGTTTGGAGAACAGGATTTAGGATATGGATTCACTGAATCCGTAGATTTTGTAGAAAATTATGTTTTTTTGTTACTTTTTGTATTGTGGATTCTAACTTTAGAGATTTCAAATCTCTAAAATCTGCGGATATCAAATCTCTCATAATCAGAGAGATTCTATATCTTGATTCGTGAGATTTTTTTTCTCCTGAGTTTTCTCTTTCTTTTATTTATTTATAACATGAGATATATTTATCAACACAGTTTTTAATATTTCTTGAACCACTCTAGTTTTTTTATTAAGGATAAACATATTATTTAATATAAATTATTTTTTTATTTTAATTGAATGTTAACAATCACAGTTACCAAACAATAAACATTTTAAAATCTGTTTTCAACAATCCGAAGAGTTAGAATCTTTAGATTGTTGACAATCTGTAGATTTAAACTCATATTCTCCAAACGACCCCTAAGTTACGATTCTATGAACTTGTTAGTTATTTTTTTGTCATTAAGTGTTAAATAAGTTATTAATTATTTGAGCTGAAGTTTGAAAGTGTTGTAACGATTACTTCATTCATTACATAATGTATACTATTATTTTTATTTCCAACAACTAGGGACGCTTACACTACCGCCTTCTTGAACATTGGTCTCACGTAACAATGTTATGTGGGTAGTAAGAAGTCGTACGCGTGTAATAATAACAAGTATAAATTTCTTTTATTACAAATTTATATTAATGTATGACAACTTGTTCATACTAGTCAATCCATGTCAATTAAATCATGACGATATTATTAATTGAGGAGATAAAATTCACCACGTACTAAATAAAATAGCTATAATTTTAGACTATATTTTGATTTTTTACATTCTCAATTATTTTCTTTATATATTTAGAAGAGTATTTTTGATGAACCATAGAAAATCCAAATGAAAAGTTGTAACTAGTGAAGCTAAAAGAGGGTGGAATGAAAAGAAAAGAAAAGAACTAATTATTGCTTTTGGTGTGAAGGTATAGTTAATAAAATACTGTACAAGACAATTACTTTTAAAATACATACGAGTATTTAACTTTGTCTCTAAACTAATGTTACGTTTAATAGTACGTTAATAGTAATAAATATATGAAATTAGTTATTTTAAAAATAAATAAATATATAAATAATAGTTAAGTTAATAATTTAATTCATTAATATGGATATTAAACGTGTTATACGGTTTTTATAAGTGTTTAGAAACAGTTTGACAATAATACGAATATGGAAATTATAAACGGAGAAAATATATACGAATATATATACGTGTATTAAACGGAATATTTGCTAACGAAAACTAAACGAGTAAAGAGTTAAACGTGAGAGACGGAAAATTATGTCTGCCAATACCTCCATTAGCTAGCATTTTCCTTTCCTAAAATAAAAACGGAAGCATTGAGAATTGGAGAAAAGCAACCAATTATTTGAGGACACGTGGCCGGGCAGCAGGGTTGGCTGCAAGCCGGGTTGCAGCTAAGTTTCGTCCGGAAAAAATCTATCGGACATTCCAAAATTCACTCCTTAGAATTAAAATATTAATTTATATATATTCAATTCGAAACTTAATTTCCTTTTTCACTAGCTTTTTAGATACTTTCGTGAGAGACTTTACCATGCTTTAAAGTATTGGTACTTCGAGATCCAAATTAAAATTGTACATAATTTTAAAGGTATAAGTTCAGTTTAATTTGTATCATAACAAATTCATTTTGTACAAATTAAAAAAAAATATAGATGCAAATTAAATTTGTACCATAATATTAAAAGATATAAGTTCCGTTTGTACTACCATAAACGGATTGTGTAAAAGGTATAGACCGTTAAGTGTAGAAGTACAATTTGTATAATAACATTTTCTTTTATCTAGCTAGTAATAGATTTGGTTTTATCTTTGTAAGCATGCTAACCTGCCACGGGGATTTCGACAGCGAACTCGGTGTAGCAGAAGACGGAGAGCATGGCGGAGACGCCGGAGACCACGTAGGAAAGCAGCACCGCGGGGCCAGAGTGGTCGCGAGCTTCAAGGCCGGTAAGGACGAAGATGCCGGCGCCGACGACGGAGCCGATACCGAACCACATAAGGTCCCACCAGTTAAGAGTCTTCTTCATCTCGTGCTCGCTCCGGGCCTTCACCTCGTGGAGCTCCGTCGAGTCCATGGACCGGGCCAGGACCCGGTCCACGAACCGCTTTGGCGTCTCCCGGAGGGCCCGACCGTAGTTGGCCCAGCTCTGAAACGACTCCTCGGGGAGGAAATCATCTTTCGTGCACCCTCTCTTCCTTACGATCGCCCGGCCTCCTGCTTCGAGTTCGTTGACTCTGCCGCCATTAATGCTGACCGCCATCCAAGAACAGAGTTGCTCAAGTGGTTGCTTGAAGATTGGACACATGAATCAACAGCGAATTAGCGGTTGGATTAAATAACAAACCAATGATTGAACCTAAAAAGATTCCTTGCCGGCCGGATTAAAATGTGATTAGGAATATATATGAAGTGTAATGGCAATTGGATCATAAAAGCTATATACAGTCGAAGTCAATCACTATCAGTATGGACGTATGTTATACACAAATATAGGAAAAGTTTATAAGTTCAGTATTAACGGGGTCAAATTTTTTATCCGTGACATATTAGTCGATTTTGGTAGAAGCAGGATTTGAAACTATCCATGTCCTCTATTCAGAATATATATACATAATATTTAATACATATAATTAAAACTAATAATACCTAAATAATTCATTCATAAAGAAACAAAAAAACTTACTAATACAATTATTGGTTGCATAAATAACCACGACGAGTTTTCATATTACGAAAAAAATGCAAAATACATTCATTATTACACTCTCTCTTAAGTGAGTCACTAGCTTACAATGTATCACATTAAACTATCATTAACAAATTCATTGCCAATTCGACCTCGAAGCTTATTCTTAATATAACTCCGTCTAAAATATGCATTTTTGTCTCCATCATTATTCGAGATAATTCATCAATTCTTTTCAACCCAACAAATCTCTTATCAGTCATAAACTCATAATATCGTGATAATACCTAACAAGTTGTTGTCGAATAATAGTGTCATGAATGAAACCAATAATTTAATTATTTTTTGTGAATTAATGAACAAGTAGTAATAAGTTATGGTGTAGTTGTATGTCGATCTAGGGTTAGGGATTGGAAATGGAATGAAGAAGGGAAAGTTGGGACTCGATAGACAGAAGAGAAAGGGAATAGATATTGCAGTCTCCCTTCTGACTTCTTCTATTAAACGATGGGCTTATGTGAAACAGGCCCGAGAAGGATTTTGAACAAATAAGCACGAATGGGCTCTTGAGTATAAGCCCACTAGAAGTGCTGGTAATGACTGACTGAGTTCTGCTTAGTTCTTGAAGAACAGAGACAGAACAAGGCAAAGCAAAAACAGAGTGATGAGAGGAAGAATGCAGCAAAACACAGAGACCAGATTTTTAACGAGGTTCACCCAAACATGGCTACGTCCTCGTCCCAGCAGTCGTACCCACTCCTGCTGAGAGACACTATATTATCTGTTTATATGAACACGAGACACACGCAGAAAAGAAAGACAAGAGTTACAAAATCTGAAACAAGAAATAGAAACCAGAGTAAACAAACTCTGAACCAAGATTGCCCTCTCTCACAGAACCTATACCCCTGTGGAAGAATCCCTTTTACTTTCAAGAGCAAGCCCTATACCGCTGAAGCTTCTTACTTTGTAAAAGTTGAAATGAGAGAAGATGAGAAACGGATTATATAGAGCTTCAAGCTAGCCGTTAGACCTTCTAGCTGATTGAGGAAAATCAGCACCTTCCTTTCCTTAGATAGAAACTTTCCTTGAAGACATTTGCCAGCTCTGATCTCGTCCAACAATCTCCCCCTAGATCAGAGATTGCAAATGAAAGAGTACCTGCAAAAGAACACATTCTCGAGCACAGAGCATAGCAAACCAACCAACACAGTAAAAGAGAAAGTCTAAAAGCAATCATACCAAAAACATAAATCCACACTGTCAAATCCAAAAACCAAAATCAATCCGTCATAGCAAAAAGACATCTCCCCCTAAAACTATGCTCCCCCTAGATCAGACAACAAAGGATTCATCTGAACTGTAATCAACGAGTCTAGCAGGGCCATAAATGAAGGCAACTTCAAACTGATAATCATCATCTTCTTCTTCTTCTTCTTCAGGATCATTTTCACCTTCAGGTTCTGGATCAGCCTCTTCAGCAACAACAACCTCAGCAGCAACAACATCCATCTCCCCCTCGTTTGAAATCTCCAGCTCGTCAAGAACTTGGTCAATAAGAAAGTACCAGGAAGGCTGCTCTGTGCGGAACGGAGAGATGGAAATCCCTAGGCGAAGAATCAAGTGAGTGACCAGGGGGCCAAAAGGAAGAGGGCCAGGAAAACTGGAGTCCGCAAAGGTCATGAATACTCCAAACAGGAGATATGAAAAGTCTAACGGTACCCCAGCAACAGCATGGGACATGATCCATAAATCCAAGGGAAGAATGAGATCCAAGGATTGGGTGCAAGGGAGAAGAATTCGAGTGATCACAAAATGAAGTGCACGAAGGCGAGGAATAACTGAGGCGACAGGAAGAGAAGTTGCAGGACCAGGATGAATCCCAGTGAGCTGAACAAACTCAGCCGCGATATTGAAATTGTATCTCCAGAGCTCAGACTCATGGGCTAATACTTCCCCTACTGTAGGAATGCCAAGAAGGCGAGCCAACTCAGGCACAGGGATAGTAACGAGATGTCCATAAATGACAGTGGAAAAACAGCGACTGTGCAAGCCAAAAGAGCGAAGATTTGAGTAAAAATAGCAAACCAGCTCTGGACAGATCAGAGAGGGAGGATCTAGCAGAAGAAAATCCCAGCCAAGATGATGAATGAAGTCCCTTACATCAAGTCCAAAATCCATGAAATCAGGAAGATGAACATGAATGGGAGAGGCAATGGGACGATTTTCATAAGCTAGAGCAAACCTATGACGACTGAAAGAAATAGGCTCAGGGAAGATATAGCCAGTATAGGTTTGAGAGAAAGCATAGTTCATGGTTGCAGAGGGAGGAATCACTAACTACAGATGAGCACATCAACCAATGCGACGGGATATAAATAGTGGACAAAGAGAGAAGCGCTAGGTAACTCAGACGACACACAAAGAAGGAAATAGACATACAGAGACCTAGAAATCAGCAATCAAAGAGGGAAACGAAAATAAACAAAACAAGGAAGCTGAATCAAATAAAAATAAACACACAGAAGGAAAGAAAAACTTAGCATCATACAGAAAGAAAATCGTGAAGATTTTCGAGTGAGCGCAGGCCTATGTCATAGCAAAGAGAAGTAAATCGTTCAGTAGATAAAGGTTTAGTGAACAGATCAGCTAACTGAAATTCAGTGGAGATGTATTCTAAAGCAATGACCTGATTCTGAACCAATTCTCGAATGAAGTGGTATTTGATCTCAATGTGTTTAGTACGAGAATGCTGCACTGGATTTTTGGTCATGCAGATCGTGCTAGTGTTATCACAAAACAAGGGAATGACAGGAACAGTTAAGCCATAATCTCCTAGCTGATACTTGAGCCAGAGGAGTTGAGTGCAACATCCTCCAGCCGCTATGTATTCAGCCTCGGCAGTGGAGAGGGCTACTGCTCCCTGTTTCTTACATGACCAAGAAACAAGTGAATTTCCAACGAATTGACAGGAGCCACTTGTGCTCTTGCGATCAGTAAGACTTCCAGCGAAGTCTGAGTCGCTATAACCAATCAGATCAAAACAAGTCTGCTTAGGATACCAGAGACCTATATTAACAGTACCCTTTAAGTATCGAAATATACGTTTAACTGCAGCCAAGTGACTGGCTTTGGGTGCAGCCTGAAATCTCGCACATAAACACACACTATACTGAATATCAGGCCTACTTGCAGTTAAATAAAGGAGGGAACCAATCATTCCCCTATATAATGTTTCATCTACTGTGATTCCTTTTTCATCTTTGTCCAATTTAAGATTCACAGCCATTGGAGTTGGGCTGGAATTAACATTGAACAGATTAAACTTGTGCAGCATGGTGTTAATGTATTTAGACTGACTGATAAAGGTACCATGTGCAGTTTGTTTAAACTGAAGACCAAGGAAGAACTGAAGCTCTCCCATCATACTCATTTCGAATACGGATTTCATTGCTTCACAAAAATCAGAACACAGAAGGATTGGTTGACCCAAAAACTATATCATCTACGTAGACTTGGACTATAAGGAAGTGACCAGCAGAAGTCTTCGTAAATAAAGTTTTATCAACCGACCCTTGAGTGAAATCTTGCTCCAAAAGAAAAGCAGTTAAACGATCGAACCAAGCTCTTGGGGCTTGCTTCAACCCATAAAGAGCTTTGTTCAACTTATAGACATAGTCAGGGTGCTGAAAATCAGTAAATCCGGGAGGTTGAGACACATATACCTCCTCTTGAATGTGACCATTTAAAAAAGCACTTTTCACTTCCATTTGATATAATGGAAAATTCTTATTGCACGCAAACGCACATAGCAATCTGATAGATTCAAGACGAGCCACGGGAGCAAACGTCTCATCGTAATCTATTCCTTCCTCTTGACAATACCCTTGCGCAACAAGTCGTGCCTTGTTGCGAATTATATTGCCATTTTCATCGGACTTATTTCGAAACGCCCATTTGGTTCCTATAATGGTTTTTCCTAGAGGTCTAGGAACAAGTTCCCAAACCTTTAAGTACTCAAACTGATTTAACTCTTCTAACATAGCATATGCCCATTCTTCATCATGTAAAGCTTCTTTGTATGATTTAGGTTCTACTTTAGAAATATAAGCATATTGGCTAGGGATATATTTACCTCGAGTACGAAGACCATCTGTGATTTCTCCAATTACCTGGCTTTCAGGGTGGTGCTTTTGGATATGAGGTGGTGCTTTAGGAGTGTTTGTGCTTTCAGTATCCGTCTGACTGGTGCTTATTGAATCTGTAGTGGAACATTCAGGATTCTGAATTTGTGAAGAACTGGATTCTAGAGATGTAGACTTATCACAGGACTGCTTTCCATTCCACTGAGTCGGCTCTAGAAGATCAAATATTCGGTTTTCTGCTTCTGCACACTTAGTAGAATGATTAGCTTCATCAAACAGCACATGAACAGATTCTTCAACCTTCCTAGTGCGTTTATTAAAAATTCTGTATGCTTGACCTTTTAAAGAATAACCCAAAAAGATGGATTCATCTGATTTTGCATCAAATTTTCCAAGGGTATCTTTAGTGTTCAAGGTAAAACAGCGACATCCAAAAGGATGAAAGTAAGCAATGTTGGGAATCTTGTTTTTCAA